TATAGTTCCAGCTACTTGGAAGGCTGAGGGGGAAGGATTGCCTGAGCCCAGTAGGTTGACACCGAGGTGGCTGTGAGCATGCCACTGCACTCCAGCCTGGGCGATGGAGTGAGACTCCAACTCAAAAAAAGAAAATATACACATACATCAACCTAAAAGCTAAAAGAAAAGAAACAAAAAACTTCATAAGAACCTCATGATGGGGATAAACAATCATGTTTTAATAATCAGCCTGAAAGTGAATTGTTGGGAGCCAGCCTTGGAGGTCCACCTGATTGACAGGGTCCTGGTGGGTTGAAGACCCTGGGCCGCAGGGCGAGCCCGGGAAGCTGAGGCCCTTCTGTCTTCCACCTTTGCTGTTTGGTACTGCTGAAGAATTCTGTGCAGTTGTAGAAGAAGAAAATGGCATGTTTATGCGAAGTACTCACAGCTAACCTGAGAATGTCATGGTTTATTTTTCCATTTTCCCACTATGCCGCTTGGCCTTTTCTAACATATGCAAGGGTTAAACTCTGAAGCACATCAAGAATGCTTTCTTTCACTTGGTTATAAGTTACTAGATATTGCTTAAGTAAAAAATGATATAAGTATATTCACTCATTTGATTTAGGATTATGCAGTTTAGTGTTTAGACATAAGGTTTTTTAGAAGCACAAGTTTATAGTAAGTCCATTATGAATTCATTATAAGTTCTAACACTTATCTAGGAGTTATATAGGTGATTTATAACACTGTTTTCATAGACTTAGGATAAAGATTAATCATTAAGGTTTTTACCTAATTCTATAGTTAAGATTTTTAAGTAAATGTTTATAGAGTGGGTTTTCACTGAATTCATAATATATTAATTGAATACTTTATGATAAATTGACTAAATACAGAAAGCAACCTTGGGGGCCTGGGAAACATTACTAAAAACTTCTTTTGAGTTCTCTTTAGAAACAAGCACTGCAAGATAAGAGAAGACTAACAAAGACATCTGGACAAGGGAGGCGATTACAATGCTCTGAAGGACATAAAAGCCTAAGATGGGAAAACTCCTGACACATGAAGAAATGAACGCTTAGAAACTTTCTTGAGACATTTCAAGGACTGTAATTTGGAACACTGGACTGAAAGTATCATTGTTGGCTTTATGAATAAGACTCGTTGTCTGAATGTTTATGGGAATCTTGGTTTGTTTGCTGCTAAGACCACTAGATGGTAACTTTTAGAAGATATGTACGTGAAGGAATTTTCTTTGTCTTACCCCTTTACAAATGGTATAAAAGCTCTGTGTTAACTAACATTAAATTGTAATCTGTTCAGGAAGCAAGTGTCCGAGTATAATATTTTCGTCTTTCACCTGTCCGTCTTTCCTTCAGGAAATCTCTGGACCCTTGTGGGGCTGGACCCCCGCAGTGAATGGAACAGACACACAATGGCAAACTGGATAAAAAAACCATGACTCAATAGCTTTCTGCATCCAGGAGACTCATCTCACCACAAGGTACACACACAGACTCTAAGTTAGAGGATGGAAGACAAGTTTCCAGGCAAATGAATCACAAAAGAAGGCAGGAGCTGCGGTCTTACTATCGGACAAATCAACCTTTAAGCTATCAAAAACTTTAAAAGATACTGAAGGACACTACATAATGATAAAAGGTTCAATCCACCAACAAGAAATATCCATCCTAAACATATATGCACCCAACAGAAGAGTACCAGTGTTTATGAAGCATATACAAAGTAAACTAAAAAAGATATTGACTCTGACACTATTATACCTGGGGACTTAAATACCCCACTAACAACCCTAGATAGATCATCAAGGCAAATATCAACAAAGAGATCTGGAACCTCAACTTAATTCTCAAACAAATGGATTTAATAAATACCTACAGAATACTCCACTAAACAACCATAGAACATACATTCTACTCATCACCACATGAAATGTACTCCAAGATCAATCACATCTTCAGCCATAAATCAAGCATAAACAAATTTTTTTTCCACTGCAAAGATAAGCTAAGAGATTTATTTCACTAATTAAGGGTAACTAGTATGTATATCTCAAAACAACATTGAATTATTTAAGACATACTATTACTATAGTCATATAGTTAATAGAGAGGGCTCAAGAACACACACACTGGAAAAACAACTGTATTACACGTCACAATCAATGGCAAGTACTTCTCGTTATTCTTAAAAGAAAAATACCTGACCAGTTAAAAGCTAAAAAGTTTGCACATACATGATGAGCTTACACCCTCAAAAACCAGGTAAAAACTGGCAAAGTAAAGCAAATGAGAAAACTGGTTAAACTTCTCAAGCATACTAAATCATATCAAATATACAGGCATTTTATTTAGCAAAATAAAGCATTAAAACTGTTTTTTGTAGACATATTTAATGCACTTATTTTAATAACTACTTCATTACAGGTTGACTGTCTTTAACCTAACTAGATAAAGAATGACCTGAAAGCAACACTGACTGAATAGAAGGTAAAGAAAGCAAACATTCCCAGCCATTTTTTGTACGAACATGGATTATACCATTTAATGCAGACCCAAGGCCACACATTTTTGGGGAGTAAGTTTTTACTTGCAGTTCAGATTCTCTCCATGTAAGATCACAAAAATACAATACAGTATGATGAGCCCAATTTAAAAATTACATGCGGCAACCCATATTAACACAAACAGCTCCCAGTAAGGGACAAGAAAAGCTAAATCTGGTATCACTAGGGTTCATTACAGGAGAATAATCCGGTACAAGGAACTATAACAGGTTGAAAATAGAAACAAAACCATGCTCGACTGTCACTAAAGGTCAATCTGATAATTTCAATGACCAAAAAGTAATCTACGTAAAAAATTCAAAATGACTGTGGAAGAGTCCAGCATCCTGTACTCACACAATGACCCGAGCTCAGCAGGATGCAACTTCTCAAGGCATACAAAACAATTTCCTCTTGGAGGAGAACGACGGGGAAACCTACTTTCAAGGAACAGTATACACTCTGAAAGGGATTGCTGATATTCAACTTTCCAAAATGAAATTACATTTAGTAGTAGAACCTGTAGTAGTAGACATACAAAGAGTCCGTCTGAAGTAATTATAGTGTAACCTTGATTTCCCAGTGGTATTATTAAGACAGGGCTCTAATTTAAAAATTCTTCTTCAAGATTAAAGAGTACTCTAAAATTATGATACAGAAAAGCAATCCTAAAACTACTTTAGCCAAAATGAGAATTCCAATGACCCGCACTGAGAGTCCACAGTTGCCAAGAGCTGGACTGACAGTCGAAGGGGCTCACTGCCCAAAGACCCCAACTGCCCTTTGACCTCTCTACCTACTGGGTTCAGAACATTTCCAGTAGGAAAAAAAAGGTATCCAGGGCATTTAATGATCGGGCAATACTGAGAGACAAAGTGAAGATTTGTTTAGCACTGTGCTTAGGTATTTAAGGCTATTCCTTTGTCTATCATACTTCTATCTGTTTAAAGTGACAATTTCCCTAGAGGAAGTTACAAAATTAGTATCTCTAAAAGAGAATAACTACCATGGAGTTCAAAAGATGTGTGCTAATAAGAGTATTTTATGAAAGGTGACGTCCCTGTGAAAGGTAGAGCAGTCTGTTATAACACTGGGGCCAACATGCTATCAAGGCACTTCAGAATTTTGAGAAATTCGTTTGTTTGCAGTAACAGGCAACTGTAAAACAGGGTCTTCCGAAAGTATTTACAGAAATAGACACCCTTCAACAGAAGAAAAAAACATCATGTACAATAGACTTTAATGGCTCTTTCAGGCAACAGAGAAATATCCACATGCCAGTAACATGAGCTATGGAGTTCAGCAGGTACCCAGAGCAAGCCTTTAATTCCAAGCAGCTTTTACTAATTAGTCCCAGAGCAGATGATGTTTAAGATGCTAAAGTTAACAGCTAACGTCCGCAGAAAAGCTATAAATGCCTAGGGCCTCTGTCTTATGGACAGTTTTTGCTCTCATAGGTTGTAAAACAGGATTGGGTGTGTTAAGACATTTGTCCATCACACAGCCTTGGACGGCAGAAGACAACCATTCCACGCAGCATTTAGACCTCGTCGCTTAGTTTTAGTGTAACCTGACAGTGATAACTGATCTCCAGTTTTCGTTCTCCAGCTACAGGAATGGGTGTTTCTTTCTTTTTAAGGTCCATTAACATCATTTAAGTATTCCCATCTAATTATTAATTCCTCACTAAGGAAGATTATAAGTTCAGATTTTATAAACAAAAACAACAATTTAAAGGTATTTAATAGCTGGTGCTTCATCCCCTCTCTTCAATGCTGTCTCAAAGGTTTTTTGGCTATTAGTTTTCATAATTTTCTTATATCGCACACAAAAATAAGATCCCCTCTCTAAAGTGCAGAGTATGGGGGAAAATACAGACACTGCTACAAAAGAACAGATTGCCAAACAAACAAAAAAACCCAGCCCACTAAACTAGGTGGGACCAATCAGGCTTTGTAAGTTAAAAAAAAAAATCCTTCTTTTATTTAGCACAATAAAACTTATCACTATACTGACTCTGTGTTTGAACCTTACTTCTACTTAACCAAAATTTTTCCCTTCCTCATAATTTCTCTAGTAAGGTTATATCTATTTTGTAGATTCTGAAATATCTGCATTTTAATGCTCACAACCCATTTAAAAATTACAAAAGCTCCCTATTTCATTATCTGATTAAAAATGCAAAACAAGAAGGGGACAAACCAAACAGACAATACCACTTCATACAGATAATGACCCAAACGGAAAGGTTAATGTGCTGTAATGACATTCATCTTGCAACATCAAAAGCAGCAGAGACACTGAATATAATTTGCTTAAATCATAAATACTGAGATTGAAATATGCACATATGCACTAAGCAACAGACATGCTCTGTGAAATAAAAGCTCTTGATAAATAAGTATCCATGAAGTGCAAAACAAGCAACTTCGGCCATGTGCTCTGGCATTCAGTACTCCCACTCGTCCGACTTCAGGTCGAGATAGCTGAGGATGTTCTGGGCCAGCTTCACAGCCTGCTTTCGGGCAGCCTTACACCACTCCTCTCCCTGCAGGTCCACCGTGTCCAGGGCCAGCAGCTGCTTAGTGAGCAGCTCCTCCAGCCGTATGTAGTTCTTGTCAGTCCGATTTCCATCAAAAGAAAGAACTTCCCCCTGGATCTCCAACAAGTTTCCAAGGACATTTCAGACAGCTTTATGGGATGGGTGCTCCTCGCAAGCAAACAGCTTTCTTTTCTCAAGGGCCTCCTTTAAGTCGATATAAGTGATCAGAGTTTGCACTTCAATCACCGCTCTTCTCCTGGCTTCACGGATGCAGGGTTTTTTTCGAGACTTACCTCATCCAGCTGTCCAATCAAACTCTGCAATTCTGTTTTGGAGCTCAGGTACAATTCAGGAGGATTCTGTGCTTGGAGAAGTTCATTTTTTATTTCTCTCATTCTCTTGAGGACCTTTTCTATTTTTAAAATGGAATGATTCTGTCCCAGATCAAACGCCTTAGTAGTGTCTGCTTCCTCTTCTAAATCCAAATATTTCAATAGTTTGTGGATGTCTTCTACGACCTCCCTCCGATAATTTCTGATTTCTGTACGCCCGCACACATCTAAAGCGTCCAGATCAGCCATCAGCCCCGAAAGCACACAAGACAAGTGCCTGCACGTCTCACTGTTGTCCACCCCCATCAGAAGTGCAATCAGGGTACCTCTGGCCTTGTTCACCTCACACATCACAGAGTTGATTTTGGCAACAGAGGGATGTGTGTCCTCAGACAGCGGCAGGGAAGGCTGCCTCTTCGTGCAGTCTTCGATGATTTCTTGCAATGCACAGATTTTGGTCAAAGTGTGATACCTTGCCTTCCACAAGGAGATTTTCCTCCCAGTTTTAACATGTGTCAGCCTCAGAATGATGTCCTGGATGCCTTCTTCAAATTCATCAGTTACACAGTTGCCTTCACTATAAAATGGCACAATTTTCTCTCTCATAAGGGACTGGACTTCCTTAAAAATGTTCTGTATTTCAATTTGGTCTGGGTGGTTTGCGTTTTGCTCCAACTCCTTGAGGAGACGTTCTGTCTTCTGTGCAGCCCTCTTCCTGGCTTGCTGGATGTTTCCTTTTCCTTCAGTGTCTACAGAGTCTATTTCAAAGAGTTGCTTTGTTAGCATCCTCTCCAGTTTCTTGTAATTCTTGTCCTCTGACAGATCATTGAAGCCGAGTACTTGCTCTTCTATGCTTTTTACCTCCTTTTGGATTTCCTGAAGCCTACTCATAGAAGGATGTTGGTTTTCCATATCCATACTTTTGTGTGTTCCATTTCACAAGCACCGGAAGGGGACTGAGCTGGTTGTGGTCTTGTCGTCCCGTGGTCGAGGGGAGAGGTGGAAGATCAGCCCTTTACGGGGTGCGGTGCCGGAACTGGACCCCAAGCTGCACCCCTCACACCCCTCCCGGCTAGGTCTGGACGGGGCAGCCGGCGAAGGGGCCGGCCATGGCAGCGGCAGCTACTGGCCGCAGCGGCCACTCCGGGCGTCACGGCCCGGGACCCACGACGCGCCCGTCGACCCTGACCTCACAGTGGGCGCGCGGGGGCGGGGGGCACTCGGCCGGGCTGGGGA